GAGTTGAAGTAAAATATGGTGCATCTTCATCTTCAACCTCTGACTATAACTCACGCCCTGAAATTAGTAAGGGAAATGTTGTATATTATCTTTAAAATTAATTCATATCTTTATTGTAGTTGTGGAGTCTGTTCAGTTACCAAATAAAAGACCAGTTGATGTTCAAGAAGTTGATGATCGCTGTCTTGTAAGTATTGTTGGTACTTTGCCCACTTCTCCTTCTTCCCCACGTGCTGCTTCTTTCTCTAATACTTCAACTCCTACCACTGATAACAGCACAACTAAGGATCATGTCTCTGCTGAATTGCCTATACATGTACATGTAGGTAAAGGTGAGTTATTTGGTGGAATACAACAACAAAGGCATGATGATTATAACGATCAAAGTGGTGTATTGGTAATGACTTACCATGTTTTAAAATACAGGCCTAATGAATCATTAGCTTCAGAAGATTACAATATTGAAGTTACACCGATAGCTGTTGGAGAAAGTGATAGTAATAATATTGAGATGTTTGCTCCTGACAACATTGGTAACAAAAGGCCTGATGAGTCATTAGCTTTGGAAGATGACAATATTGAAGCTATACCAATAGACGCTGGAGATGAATGTGGAACAAAGAAAGTAAATAAAAAGAAAGAAGTAAATAGTAAAAATATTGAGATCTTTTCTGGAGGTCTTGAAGTTAAAACATCTCTTGAAATTGATTCTTGTGTTAATGTTTTTGTTGTGGGTAATCCTGGAGCTAGTAAAACTACTCTTTGTCCTGTCATCAATGATACAGCTGCTGGTCCTTTTGTAGAAGGTCTTTTTGTGGACGAACATGAAGAGGAAAAAGAGAGAGTAAGTTATATAACTTTGGAATGTTGGGAAAAGAGTAATGAAAATGGCCAAAGAAATGCTTCTCCAATCATGAGTGGCAAAACTAAGTCAAAAGAAATTTTACGTGCAAACAAAACAATTGATCGAGCTTTAGATGCTAAAAAAGTTTTCAATCGTCACAAAGGATCTACAGATTCAGCCACTGGATTCAGCTCTCAAAGGCAAGCTAATTACAGCCTTTCATCAAAACTGTGTGAAGTAGTTTGGCAGTTTCTATATTTAAAGCTAAGTTTACTTATTTGTATAGTAAATTGCATCCCTTTCAGTGATTTGAATGATGCATTATTGGTCTATGATAAATCTACTATAAAATCCACAGTTGGTGTGTCTGTCTGGTTTGAATCTCTCAACTACAAGCATCG